ATTTTATTGACGTATGAACTTGATCTATGGTCCTCACAGTCGCGTGTTTGACGATTTGATTTGACCGTCAATGATTGATACGGTTGCTTCTAACAGGGTCTTATGTTTCTCGTTGTTTACCTTCGTTAGCGATTTTTTTCTTTTTCCTATGGGCAAACAGGCCAGAACCACGGACAGGAGCGGCCTGACACGAACACGTGGTTTTGCTTAGGAACTTCGATATTAAAGTGACAGTGTACTCGGCTACTACGAAAATTTCATTCAAAATTTGAGTCTCGGGTTTTAGTGAGTGACGAGAGCGTCAAATAGTTATCGTTTCTGTGTCGTTTCGCCTCAGTAGGTTGCGTCAAGGATATTTTTAGATGACTTCTTCTGCACTTTCTTTTTTGCTTATTAGTGTTATTGGGAGTAGGATTCAGGAATGGAGTGTGTTTCTGACTATCTTGTTGGAGACTGCGTTTTGATGTTTGAGTCAGGTGGTTCATGTTGTACACGTAACTATGGGGTTATTTATGTGATTTTTATCGAGCTTTGGTGTAATCCTGATGGTGGAAACAGGGACTCTCGACTTATTATTAACCCCTGAGTTAAGAGCACATCTTTTGGTCGCTGTTGTATGCATGGTATAATTATCGGTGGCAGTGCTACTACTGCCTGTGCTACTCAATAGACTTCAAGCTAAATGCTAGACAAGTTTAGGAGGACGAAGTTAAGACATAAGTTACTCAAAGGGAAAATTATAGAATTGGATAAACGCTCCATAAGAATAGAACCTAAAAGACACTTAAAAATACAGCATTATCTCTGATTGTTCTGGTAAGCAACTCTGTGTGGACCTTGCAATTTTTTCATGAGTGCTTTGCATTAAATTAAGTGGATGTGCATATATTACAACCAAAGCAATTAACCAAATTAGCCCACTTGTCAGCTGGGAAACACATAGCGAGAAATTTACACCGGTTTACTGAAGCACATTTCTGAAAATCTCACGATTTTATTTATTCTCCAATTCACAGCTCTAAAAACTTCGGATTTTATAATATGCAATTATCTATTGTTTCTCATTGATCTTGGAGAATCTTTCGTTGCGGACCTTCGATATTAAAAGTCAGAAATAAATTGTACTTAGGATATACATTTATCAGACATGCTAGTGTTGAACTCCAGACTGTCATATAAGGTGCAGTGACTGTGTGAAGGACTGTATTGCAGTAATACTCTAACTCAGTGAGTAATCAGTTTACTCAGTTTTTAAAAGTCATATAAGAGATACAGGTGGTGGATAAACACACGTTTACACATTCGTTTGAAAGATGTTTATGTTGCACGTGGATGCTTCCCGAAGAACAATATATGAGCTACAAATATAAGGAACAGTCGGAACAGCGTTCTCTCTAAATGTTAGGACAAATCATATGAGCGTTATAATAGAGAAGCTGCCACAAGCCGCTTTAGGCATGTTGAAGAAAGTGGTATCACATATTCTTCTACATAATTCGTCAAGAATTTTCAGAGCTGTAGGACATGAGACATTCCGATGACTAACCTTTGGAACCTACGTACCAGAATTCCGTTCACAATATCTCCAGAGTTCCCATGTTTGATGGAAAAGAGTATTGATATTAAATGATCGACATGCCGATAAACGGTATTGAAGTGTCAAGGTTTCAAAAGGTTACAGAGCTATATTAGTCTCACTTGAAAAGCGGAAAGACAATATTTTTTAATGCGAGTAAAATGAATGCTCTTACAGACTACTGAAACGCAAATAAATACTCAGGAATTTGGAGAGAATTTATTAGTATGATGGCTGGAAAAGTTTTCTGGTCCAAGGAGATAAGGTATGTCTTCTAGTAAGTTAGTAAACCAACTCTCTCAGATCTATGTAACCAAAAAGCTAGTGTCGACTGACTTCCGATCTCTTGGCAGACAAGTCACTATTCACACTATTAATAGAAGTTGTAGTGTAGTGATTCGTTAATCGATCGTCTTGATAACCGTTATTATAACAATCTGAACGGTGTATAATATCAGAAGACAAAGGGAAGCAGCAACTACATTTTTATTGATAAATAACATGGACTAGAAGGCAGTGAGCACATTAGCAAATGTAAGCAAGTGAAGGAAAGATGACGCAGAGTGGAGATGGCTGGGAAGCCAACTCGTTATAAGCAAGCATTAATCAACATTTATAGTCAGACTAAAATGAATGACAGACATGTGATAGGTAGGATAAGAAGTGTGCATACACATACGCTCATATAAAAAAATAGTCAAGGTCAATAAGCGAATAATTAACAAGATCGAAACATGACTCATAACGTTATAGGTGAATTGGCTTGTCCAGAAACTAGAATAAGCTATGTAGGTGTAATATAGTACACGACGTTACACTACTCCCTACAAAGTACATAAGAAATGAGAACTAAGTTTTGTGGCAATTTGTTTGCTAATGCCCTGTATGAATAGACGGTAAACTGTGAGGACATTGCTCAAACCTTAAGGCATAAACTTCACCTTCTATAGACCCAGGACGTATCTCTCTAAAAGTGACTCCGTGTACATGCTACTTCCTGGCAGAGCACATATTGCAATACCTGCCTTGATAAACTCTTACTGTTTTGACAAAGGTTTTCGAACAGGTCGTCAATCAAGGGTTAATACTGGAAAGTACAATATGCCTTATATTCGTTTATCGGTCACAGTCACATTTTAACCTGGTGAGAGTCCAATCTCGCAAAATTTAACTTGACATCACACATACAGTAATAAATTCCATCTCACGGACCTCCAGCCTGAAGGAAGAATATGGACTACTAGATGGAATGAACTCAACGAACTTTGTGTACACTGTCTGAGACAACGTACTATCCAAATTGTATTTGGATAAGTTAGGGATTTCTTCATGATTACCTATTGTTTCTTAAGCCATTGGAAGAAAGTGTCCAATTATTAACGTGTTCATCACTTAACCCTAAACTGAACCGACTCAGTTGAAATCACTGGCACTTCGAAGGACTAGATCTAGTCGTCTTGAAGAAAAATTGCGGGGGGGTATATCAGGATGTCTGCCCACAGTTTATGGGGAGAACTCACTGAGATTTGAAATCCCCTAAGTAACTAAAAGATCGGCATCATAAGCGTTTCAATGATCTGAAGTTTCATGCTAGTACATGAGTGGGCTAATGAAACCGAAAAATTCAAACAGCTAAGCGTTGATAACACGTAAAGATCGCTCGAACAAAACAGGTAACTGTCACAGGACCACTACCGTTTAGTGGCCCTATATCTGATTCCTGTTGATAAGTATGCTCATTGTTACCATAATATGCATGCTGCTAACCCTCATAAATTGTTATTGACACTATTCGCATTAGAAATCAACGAAATGAATTAAGCCAAATGCTAGAGTGAATTTGGAATACATATATTTCCTACTCTCGTTGATCCAGACAAGCATCCAGAGAAACAAGGTAAAGAAAGCGAAGAGAGGGCACAGTAAAGCGGACAATGTCGTTGAAAAAAAGAGAACAGATTGATTCGAAGAAGGCGGGTTAGTCAACTCAACATCACCAAGAGTAGCTCAATATTTGTTGTCAGACCAAAAATGAGTTTCAGACACGCAATGAACAAGTTGAGCAATTAAAACATATACGATCATATAAAAACACTCAGTGTCATTAAGCGAATAATCAACAGAGCCAAATATGGCTTTACAAGGATGAATAAACTAGACTTTCCAGAAGCTATAATAACCTGTGCGGGCTAGACGTGGTGTCATCTACTACAACAGTGTGGTAATTATTCCATACTTATTTAAAAACTTGGTTTTTTGAGTGAACCAGAGCTAATGTTTTCCAGTTGCTTGGTCTTACTTACCACAATAATGGCGATGATGCTGCAAATTCCGTAACCAGACAGAACTTAAAAATCGTACGTCTAATCGCTTATATACATAAATGACAGCCTCTACACAAGTTAAACAAAAGCTGTAAATGGCAACTTAGATGCTTACCTGCCAAAGCCAACCACCAGGTTTAAAAAAACAGGCGAATCATACTTAATAGATTTCTTGAAATATGGAAAAATTATGCTTTTTGAAGCAAATCTTACTGACTCACTGTGATCCAACAAGGTTCAGGTGTAAGGCTTTTGTTTTTCTTAATATTCATAAATAACCTAGTACAAAGGTATATCGGGGAATTTCTTCACGTTGATGATCTAAAACTGTGCTGAGAACCCCTTGTTCATGATAATCAACTAGCTTTTCTGAGGGAATTGGAGAAACTTCAAATTGGCCAAATAAATAAGGGAATAACAAAGATGGATATTGCACAGTAGTAAATATGAGATATGTACTGTATGAAAACTATGTTAACATGACAGAATGTCATATAATCCAACTCTAAGGATGCAAATATGGTATGAGTAACCTCCGGTCACAGGTGCACTTATTAGAGTATAAGATTTTCATATTGTCATATTATCTCACAATACGGGTTAACTCCAAAATTCTCTTCTTTCTGGTCAGTTGTATGGGAGTATCAGTAGTATATAACGTTAGAGGGCAGGCACATCTCCTCCTCTTTATTACGAGTGAACTTACCAAATAGGCCATCGTTTCAAGTAGTGCGAATATTACACTGTTATACGGTATTTGGTTTTGATAGTAATATACCATCTTTCTACGCATTAACTCTACTGGCTGCTCTACTGGTAAGACTAAAAAGAGGAATCAAGTCAAATAAGGAACAAATGTATGCCCATCCATATATGTGTATGACTGGTTCAATGTATTAACTATTTCTTCCCAAGTCCAGAATAGTGTCTCACACTCAATTGCAAAAACTATTTTCACTTCCGCTAGTTTCCATTTATTTTAGTGTCTATCTAGAAAAAAGAGAGATGCGATGTTTCTAAATGCAAAAGCTCATGAAGTTAAAGTTTATGGTATTCAGAAATCAACCATGTGAAACAATTCCCCCAACTCCGGCTTCATCATGGTTGAATGTTCAATGCATACTTTTACTTTTTCGTATATTAGATTCATCACTCATGGAACGAAAGTACGTCCTGTGCATCGGAAATACATTTTTATTTTTACATAGAGAAATCCCTGGAAGCTTTTAAAGTTACGACTAGGCGGCAATCTCAACACTGTTGTTACCCACATCCCTACCGCGTTTTCTGTCTTTTGTGTTCAGAGATGTGCTAAGGACTATTACATTCAGGTTGGCTGAAGTTTGAATCTGGGGTGGTGAGTACTTAGGTTTTTTCACTTTGGCCTTGGTAATATCATATGGTAACTGACGACTGTAAACAAATAATTTGATAGTCTAGCGTTTTACGAATGAGAAGTTCTCACGTGATTTTCATTTCTCTAACTTTCGCTGTGTCCCTGAAAAACAAAATTCCCAATTTTGATCCAAAGAACTTGTCTCAGGATTAAGGTTCGTTAGAACAATTTAACTTTTAAGTTTCATCCAAGATAATAGTTGAGTGCTCTTTCATCTTGCCTCAGTTTACTATTCCGTTTTTACAATTTTCTAAACCAAGGATAGTTTGAGCATAACCGATTCATTTGTACGGCCTGTTTTTCATCCGCGTTTTACGAATATTGTTCTTTTACGGTCGTAAAATCGCTCACATCTTTTTAACAACAAATACATAAAGAACTCATGCCAGCAGCTTGAATGCCATTTTGCTGTCACCTGTTGCATACAGTGTGACAAATGTAAACCTTGATTTCGTGAAGCATGTACATGTCTCACAGTAACTGTTTACAACATATTAAGTAAGCCGGGTATTTAGCACACATAAATGCTTCAAACAGTTCTGGACGGAATAGAAATTTTGACCTAACAGGCTCTCGTATGTAGTAGCAGTGGATCACCGATGTCTTCAGGTTAGAACCCAGGTATATTTAACAGTAAAAGAAAAAAAGTAGCAGATTATAGCGAGATACCGTCCTTAGTCCTTAAGAGTATGTCAATTTTCCTTTTAAAGAACGTCTAGTAAGTCGGGCTAACTCAACTGGCAGAGAATTCCAGCATTTCACTACTTTTAAGTAATGAGATGTGTGCTCACAGTCCGTCCTATGTAGTCTCCAGTTTCTGGGTGTTACCCTTAAAGTGCTAAGCCTAAATAGGTGTTGAAAGGGGTGTTGAGAATTGTTCAGGATGTTGTAATTCATTAGGTCATCCCTAAAACACCTGTAATTTAATGGGTGAAGCTTCAGTGATCGAAGGCGTTCGTCATAAGACTTGAGTTTGAGTCCCCGAAATGATTTCATGACTCGCCATTGGGTATGTTCCAGTCTGTCCTTATACTTTTGAAGTGAGGAAGGAAACACTATTTTTCTATACTGCAAATTCGGACGAACAAAACTTCTGAGGATTAAGTGGAAATTTTTTCCGTCGAACTGGCTGAAAATGCTCCTCAACGTTACCAGTTCGAGGTTTGCTCTGCAGTCGTTTTTGTCTCAGTTAGCGTAAGACTTCGGATCATAGGGTATCACCACTCCTACATCTTTTCCAAAATGGGATACCTTTAGTTGTTATTTACCTATGTTGTATTCGTAGTTTGCAACATGTCAGATGGATTACTTTATAATTAGAAATGTTAAAGGTTAGTCTGTTGTCTTTCGAACTTTGGAGTCGAGTTAGATCCTCCTTAAGTGCCAGAAGGTTGGCTGCGTCTCCATCGTTATTGTTTGGACCACTTTATTTACTTATTTAAACACATATATATTGGTACAAAAGGGCACCAGGTACATATGCGCCACACAAAATAATGAAAGTAGGAAGAGAAGGGATGAAAAGATAAGACGGACTGAAATGTACAACCAGAAGACTCTTTCAGTTAGGAAAGTTAGAACCATTCTTTATGTAAAAAGTAAAAGAAGGTTGCAGCAGGTTCGCCACTGGCTTCTATTCTGAGCCATATCTGATAACGTCTCTAGCCACTGTGTTGCACTATCTCTCGGACCCCAACCAGGGAGTCGTGAAGGACCAACAGAAGCTAGCCCTTTGCAGCTCTCTTTCATTCCACGACACCGTTTGGACCACTATGACTTAACCGGAGTTTCCCAATCGTTAAGTTTGGACCACTATGACTTAACGATTGGGAAACTCCGGTTTTGGCTCGTCGAAGAGAGGCTGTATGACAGAATAAGCTTTACGAACTAGGAACAAATTTATCGATAAGCTTTATCTGATACTGAACCCTGTTTTCTCTTGTTGCTTTTGTGCATTTGTTACTTGCTTGTATAAGTTACCTGTGTGCTCTGTTGTTACCAGTTTGTTTGTATTCCACCCAAGGAAGTCCTACTCACTGCCTTCTCGTGGCGGGGTGTTGTTCACGAAAGTGAGAGGACGAAGAGCGAATGTCCGGCGCTTTAACCGGGTCGGTGGATATGGAGGGTCCACCTAGGGGAGTTGGAAAACCCTGATTCCAAACCAATGATGCACATGGGCTCCAGGATCCTGATTGAACGAATGGCGTATGAACCTATTGTTGGTCACCGGCTACCACGGGACTGCATTTCCTCACGATGCTCCACTGCCTTGTGGATCAGACTTTTAGGTCAAAGGCTCGGGGTGTGGCTCCCTAAGAAAACCACCTGCTTCAGTCTGGGCACCTGGGCAGTATCACAGCCCTCACACAAATCAAATGAGGTTTGTGAGGCGCATATTTATCTGGTGCTTTTTGTACCAATATTTATGTGTTTAAATAAATAATAAAGTGCCTTTTGCGGCTTAGCAAACAAACGGTGCGATTCTTGATGACTGCAGGTTTCTTGTAGATTTTCGGGAACGTTAGTGGAACAGACTGTTTCGTAGCACATATTTTATTTATTTATTTATTTGAACACATATATATTGGTACAAAAGGGCACCAGGTACATATGCGCCATATGCACATAAGATAATGTGCAGTAAGAAACCTCAATTAGCATCCACATCAATTTGAAGGTGAAGTTTCCAGTCCACCTGTTATAGATTGTCCCGTAAAACTGACACATCCAATCGTTTGAAATTCCAACGCCTATGTTTTGTAGGGTGTCTTAGTTCAGTTTTGCTGGTAAACCTAAAGGCTATTACGGCATAGTCGCCCTTCCCTAGGAGAGCTAAGATTGAGTTGTCAATTGGGAATTCTTCGTTCTTAAATACTCAGTTCAAACGCTATGGCGTCTGACTATTTCTCAAACGAGTTGCCGACTTCACATTTTTAAATAATCCCAGATCTTCGATAAAGTTGAAGAACCGAGCTTCATTTTATTTGTCACCTTCAATGTACGTATGTTTAGCGAAGTCGACTTTAGGAAGATTGAGTCTCCTAGGATCAGGATATGAATGTATCTGAGACAATTAGAACGGGGTAATCCTTCCAGCATATGATTGTTGTACTCGATGTTAACAGTGGGCTTCCTGTAGATAACTCCAACTAAACACTTCTAGGTGATAGCCAATCTTATTGAGCACCTGATGGACTCATCAAGATTGATAATCACTTGGTTGTGCACTTAATGTGCCTCTAAGCAAGATCATCCACACGAATTCTAATATCTCGAGAATATCTTTTTGGCCATTAACCGGCGAGCGTGTAATTTATGGACGTACCAATCATGTTTCAGATTGGTCTTGTATTCTGGAGCGATATCTATATAGCTAAGTGACATTTCGGCATCATAGCTGATAAATAAACTTGCTAGTTCGGTATCAATAAAGAGTAAAGATGAACTGGAAGTTGGGAAACTGTGCTTAGCAGAGTACCTCAGTACAGTTATTGGGCCAGTGTTTATTTATTTATTTAAACACATACATATTGGTACAAAGGGGCACCAGATACATATGCGCCACACAAAACAATGAGAATGGGAAGATAAAGGGGTAAGATGCATATATCTAAAATGAAAAATGGAATGAAGAAAAAGAGAAGAGTAATGATGGGGGGAACCGAAATGTACAATCAGAAGACTCTTTCAGTTAAGAAAGTTATAACCACTCTTTATGAAGAAAGTAAAAGGTTACAGCAGGCTCTCCACTGGCTTCTATTCTGAGCCGTATCTGACAACGTCTCTAGCCACTGTGTTGCACCATCTCTCGGACCCCAGCCAGGGAGTCTTGAAGGACCAACAGAAGCTAGCCATTTGCAGCTCTCTTTCATGCCATGACACCATGTCATACACTGACCTCCTCTCCGCTTTTTCAAACCTGTCCCAGAGTCGGCAAATAATGCACGACGTGGAATTCTCTGAGACGACATTCGTAAAACATGTCAAAGCCATCGAAGTCGGTGTCTCAAGATGGTGACACCAATTGAATTATCGTCTCTGCACCCAAACACACGATGCCGAACCTCTGCATTACTATCATGGTGTTGCCACTGTATGTCAGCAATCCTTCGGAGACAACGATGATCGAACACAGAGAGTCGTCTAACATCCTCAACTCGGAGAGGCCAGGTTTCACAGGCATAGAGCAAAACTGCTCTCACCAACGCGTTGTAAATCCGACTTTTTACAGCCAGACTAACATCACGAAGGCGCCAAAGATGGCCCAGATTGGCATAAGCCGCTCTGGCTTTCATTATACGTGCATCAATCTCATCACTCACGCCACCACCAGCACTTATATAGCTACCTAGATACACGAACTTCTCAACTACTTCAATCTGCTCACCATCCAGGGTGAGTACAGGATTAGAATCCTGCCAGTCTTGTAGGAGTACTTTGCACTTGGAGGGTGCAAAGCACATGCCGTACCTGCGGACACTGATTGCCAACTGATTAGGTGTGGATTGCATGCCTTGGGCATTATCGCACAGTAAGACAATATCATCCGTATACTCAAGGTCGAGAAGTCTAACTCCAGGCAGCAGATCCACACCGCCATTACTTACATCCCTCAGAGCTGTTTCCAAGATGTCGTCGATGGCAAAGTTGAAGAGGAATGGTGAGATTGGGCAACCCTGTCTAACCCCACTGCTTGAATGGAACAAATAAGAAAGGTGGTTATATGCCCTCACTCTGTCTGAGGTGTTCTTATACAGGGCCTTTAAGATGTTAATAAACTTCTCAGGTACACCCTTCTTCAATAGACAATCCTAGAGAACATTCCTGTCCAACGAATCGAAGGCAGCCCTGATATCAAGAAACACTATGATTGTTGGCCTGTGAGAAGTATGACGGTGTTCTAACAATTAATGGAGAGTGAATATATGATCAATGCATCCTCGACCTGAACGAAAACCAGCCTGCTCCTCGCGAGTCAATCGTTCTCCGGTTTTAAACAACCTACGAAGAATGACAGAAGCCAATAGTTTGGACGCAATCGGAAGTAGACTTATCCCCCGATAGTTGTTACAGGAACGACGTGAACCATTTTTAAAGTTAGGGACGTTTATTGACTCATTCCATGATGTTGGAACACTTTCTGGCTCCCAAACCTTTGTAAACAAAACAGTCAATTCCTCAGCCAGAAGGTCACCACCATCTTTAAAAGGAGCCGGAGGTAAGTCACCTGGACCCGGTGATTTGTAACGTTTCAAGAGTTGGAGTTCCTTGCGGACTTCCGCCTCGTTTGGTGGATCAGTCATCACCGGCCATGGGGGGCAGGACAAGCTGGTTGATGTTGCCGGAGCAGCAGGCCAGTTGAACTGCCCTTCGAAGAATTCCGCCCATCGTCCAAGACGTCGACAGATGTTAGTGATTGGCATCCCGTCATCCTCGTAGATTGTTTCACTCACACCAGACTTCTTGCTGCCAGTGGCTCGGATGAGTTGGAAGAGCTTCTGGCAGCTACCAAATGCAGCTGCTGCTTCCATCTCATTAGCATGCTTCGAGCACCAGGCTTCTCGGTCCTTACGCAAGCTATCATCATCGTTGTAGTTGACGATATCTGAAGACGGAAAGCGATAAAAAGTGGATGTGATAGTTCAGAGCTTCAAAATGACTTGAAGAAATTATCTGAATGTTCTAAAATTTGTCAGCTACCGATAAATTCTTCCGGATGCATCATGACGCATATATATCACTATTGTACAGATACATACACAGTGTGAATAACAACTATCAACCTGTTCAGACACATCACGACCTAATATTCATCGGTTGCTAAGACTTGGAAACTATTGCACAACGCCATGAGATATCCGCCTTAGGTTTTGCAGCCCTATGGTCAATACTTTGAGCCTTTAGTCATGTCGATGCCATAACCCTCTTGACTTTGTATACAGTATTCGTGTATCCTAAACTCGAGTACTGCATACAAGCGGCTAGCCCATGTCTGAAACGAGACAGTGAGGGGCTGGTAAAGGTTCAGAGAACCCCCAACTAAGCTGATTCCCGGAATCGCAAAGTTCCCTTATGATGACAGACTGGCTAAACCAAATCTGTTCACCTTGTCACATAAAAAAACTGAAGGTGACCTGACCACAGTTTTTAAATTACCTAGCGATAAATTCGCGTCTGATATCCCCTTATTTTTCTTATCTTCCAGAACAGACAATTTACCAGGACAGTTCACAAGCCCAGAACAAATTACTTGTCATCCGACTGTCGACTTTCCAATGGGGTTATCAATGAATGGAATTCATTACCTTAACACTCGATTGAAGCCCCATTCATCAATGTATTCTAAAGAGAGTTGTATCAACTGAGTCCACCATTCCCAGAATTAACACAGGTCACACAGCCTCTTATCCTTTCAAAACTAAAACTGGTTTAACCCTAGCAAGTAGGACATTCTCAAGGCCATTGAATCATCGTTCTAAGGTTGTCCATAAATTATAGTCTCACTTTTATACCTTAGAAGGCTGGTCCTAGGTACCAATCTAATCTTCTGAAATAACACTAAATGATCTTTCCAACTTGGAAGTTGGGTCATAAAACTTAACTCACGCCTAATTGTGGCTTGCTATACATGATGTTTTGAAAGACGTTTTGTTTGAATTCAGACCAATACTGTAATGACTATCGTCAGCAGTAGAACATCATAAGATAGAGATGTTTAGGTTATCCTTAGACCACGTGTTTTTCACGGTTTTAAACCACAAAGTGGCTTTTTTTACAGACCGATTCATTTGTTGCTCTATTGTATTAGTTTATTAGATATCTTGATTCCTTATTCTTTTTTATTTATTAATTAGGAGGACTGCGCGCATGTATTCAACCCGATTTATTCCACACTCGTATATCATTCTCCCTGTTAACACTCAGTGAAAATTTATCCTGATATGGAAGTAGATAAATACACATTAATCGTCCGGAATCTGCAGGTTAGTCTCTGCTTCTAATGTATAAAGTTTTGCATATTTTTCGAGATTCCGGTTTATAATTATGATATAAATATGCATGTAAACTAAATTAGTTTAAAAAAACATTAGGACTAGTTTTCAACCTGTTGCGGCCTAGTGGATGCCTTGCTAATGTATGAAGTGATAAGACCGCCAATCAGGGAGCAGCGAATTATTGATTGGAACAGTGACACACGAAAACCGTACGAGCAGTCTAGAGTGCTAATCGATCCTGCTTCTGCCTAACCCAGCCAGTTAAGTCCAAAACACCAATAACAGCCTCTGTGGTATAAATCATTGTATTTCAAACATACTGAGTTTATATACCAAACAGATTGACCACATCGTACCAGTAAAATTGGAAATAACATTTGTACAAGAGTTAGCCAAATATGGCTGTGAATAGGAGGAGCAGCAATCAATAGACTGGGTATAACTCAGGAATGGTAAATCGTACAATAATATTCCAGGTCAAAATGAAGCTCACAATCAAAGGAACATGAATATCAGTAGTTTAGTTATTTAGCGATTATACGATAAGAAATATGCATAATATTGGTCCGTAAATGAACCCCAAAGTTACTATTCACTCTTGTTATCGGGATATAACCTTCGACAAAATATTTGATAAGTCTATCCATAATATTTCAATAATTTAATCTAAAATGTTTATATATTTCATTTTTGTCTCTCATTTACACGTCAGGAGGTAGTAGGTGATGATGAACTTCAAAATCTTTTAAAGAAACCAAATTCATCAGTGTCTGTGTATTGGGGTACTGCAACAACTGGTAGACCTCATATAGCATACTTTGTTCCAATTATTAAATTGGCTGATATGCTGAAAACCGGTGCAAAAGTCACTGTACTCTTTGCTGACTTACACGCATATCTAGATAATATGAAGGCTCCATGGTCTTTGCTTTGTCTTCGTACAAAATATTATGAAGCTGTTATAAAAGGAATGTTCCGTTCAATTTGTGTCCCATTAGACCGGCTACATTTTGTACGTGGAGCTGATTACCAATTAACTGAGTAAGTTTTATCTAGTACCGTAAGTCTGAATATTTATCTTCAGTTATGGGTTTTCTTTCTGAAAACTGTTCTGAATAAGTTAAGTGACAGTGTTGTGAATCTGTTATATATGAATGAATATTTCAACTCTGTGTATTTGGACGATATTGTATTTCTGTATAATGACATAAATTATTTGTATTGCATTGACATAGCTCAACTCTAACTTGTACCCATTATCATATATGGCTCGGAATAAAATTCAGAAGATTACAATTTGGGAGAATACAAATAGTAGATGCAACTTCGCCATTGCAAACGATTTTGAGCCATGTCATTCAAGGTCTCTAACCATTGATTGGTATCATCTCATGGATCCCAACCTACCAACATGGCTCAGTCCACTTGTCAGTGACTTCATGGATTCGTGCCATGTTTCGGTCTGGCCGCCCCTAGCTTTCTTCCAACCTACTCCTACACCATGAAATATTGCACGTCGGGGCAGTTGGTGGTTGGGCATACATCACACATGTCCAAGCCATCTCAACTGATAAAGTTTCACTGCTTCGTCAATCGATCTGCCATCCTTACCTAGTACCCATTTCCCAAGGACTGCATTACTTACTCAAGTACACATTCTTCGTCGGTTAGTTATTTTTCTGCTTTCCCTATTAGAACGAAACAACTGCGGATTACTTTTCATTCTTTTTTATGAAATGGCCAGAAAATTGACTTTGAATCTCGAAAAACCCCATTCATATTCAAGTTTGTGTTATGTGTTTCAAACCCTAGATGATGGTATAAAATAAAGTTATCTTCATTCTCTCTGTAAGGTGTAAATGGCAGTTTGCGGTTTACAATTTATCGGAGTTGAGTATACATATTTATTTATGAAGTCTATTAAGAATAAATAAAAATTCTCTGTTATTATTCTCATCATCATATCGTAGGGAATATTCTATGGATGTATATCGTTTAATGGCTTTAACATCAGTTCATGATGCACGTAAAGCTGGTGCAGAGGTTGTTAAACAAGTTAATAATCCACTTGTATCTGGTTTATTATATCCTTTATTACAAGCATTGGATGAAGTACATTTAAAAGTTGATATTCAATTCGGTGGTGTAGATCAACGGAAAATATTTATGTTAGCTGAAAAGGTAAGTAATTAATTAAAAGTGACAATACTAAACTCTGTGAAGACTTTTGTGGAAAATGCTTTAATTTGTCGGTTATATTCGTAATCCGGGTACAATCATTAATTGGAGGGCACTACGTAGCTGTTTTATGCCAAATTAGGACTCTTTAGCAAGATTTACTCACGACTGTGTCAGTGATAGAATGTACAACCTTTATTTTTCATGACGAACACTTGACTATTAGAATCAGTTTGCAATATAGAGTCATTATCATTCACTAACATCAACATGGAGCTTAATACTAGGACAAAATAGCTGTCTAGTACTTGCTGGTTTCCGATGATGCCTCAAACGTGATCAGTCTGTGACGAATACTTCCTTATAATTTATTTACTTAAATATGTAAATGTTGGTACAAAAAGGTATCAAAATATATATATGCCACACAACAACAACAAGATTGTGAAACGATAGAGGAAGGAAGGTAAGTATAATAAAGAAGAACAAAGATTTATAGAAATTAGTGTATGAGGATAAAAAAATAATAAGTGAAGCAATTTAGTTAAGAATAATACTACCAGAAAGGATTTCTTCAATTAAAGAAGTTCCTCTCATTTATATGAAGAAAGCAAAAAGAAGTTACAGCAGGATCGCCACTGGCTTTTATTCCTAGCTGTGTCTGATAATGTCTCAAGGCACCGTGTTGCACCACCTCTAGGACCCCGATCAGGTAATCGTGAAGGTTCAATAAAATCCTCCTGTACAGCTTTCTTTCATACCACGACACCATGTCTTACACTGATCACCTTTCCACCCTTCCCCACCAATCCTAGCGTCGACAAATAATGCATGACGTGGAATGATTCGCATAGATTCGCAAAGCAGAAGCTGCATTTGGTGTTCTGGACTCAATTGGAAGGGCTAGGCGGACAAGGGACCAATAGAGATGCTAGGCTGCTCGTACCAGTTGAACGTAATTGATTTGTCACAGTGTTAATATCAGAAAAAGTCGTATTTCGATTAGTGGATAATTCACGTGATAAAAAGCTGGACATAAGATCAATAACGAATTATCATACGTCCTATTATATTTTGTATAAAGTCATAACAAATTGGCGACGGTCTTTATAAAGTCACAACACTAACCATAGATATCCTCAAACCCATTTTTCTAATATTGGGAGCAATAAGTGAGCAATAGTAAAGTTAGATCTAGAGTATTAACAAAGACTCTACTGGTTTAAAACGTGTGATATGGCTCCGAATCAGTCATACTGGAACAGCTGTATTCATCTTTTATCTTCTCTTACACTTGGAGTTTCGAAATTATTTCGTAACATTTTATTCTGTGGATTCATTCTTTCTTCTCAAATCATATTCTTTATTCCTAATCTTTTTGCTACCATCGATATTGCTATTTTAATATACCCTTGATAATTTTATTTCACTATGCTGATATAATGTGATAACCTAAACTGGTTCATATATGTGCTAGACTTTACATTATCTAATGACTGCTGACTGACTGAGGGTCGGTGGATCAGCCTACAAAATTTAAAAATACAGAAGTTTATATCGTTCGTTAATTGGCCTTGTGGTTGGCCAAGGGAGGAGTAGGGGTTGGAGATACTTATGAACAATTAATGAACAATCACCTTAGCTATTGTATGACCTAATTTGACTATGCACTTACGACCTTTCGTAGTCAAATGTAATTGTCTCTCTTATCTTTATTCACAAATCTTTGTATTTTATTATTATAGTTGAAAGCGTGAGTCAATTGAAGCTAGACCACCATGGAAAACCTGGAAGCATTAGACGGCCGTTTCGTCCTATTATGGGACTCCTCAGCAGTGCGCATCCACGAACCTGCTCTCGCGAGCGAGATTCGAACCCAGGACCTACCAGTCTCGAGCCGAAGCCCTTAACCGATAGACTACTGAGCTGGCATCCAACGGTGTTAATGTCTAACTTCAACTGATCCACGAAGTTGAGCAACCCTTCACCACTTGTCTTCAGTGAGTTCCTATCTCACAACAGACGTGGTTTTGAACTCCACTGGTCACTGCTTCTCACTAGAGCTCCTAGATATACTTCTCGAAGTCACTAGTGAGCATATGATTATATTAATTATTTGTGAGATAGGAACTCACTGAAGACAATTGGTGAATGGTTGCTCAACTTCGTGGATCAGTTGAAGTTAGACATTAACACCGTTGGATGCCAGCTCAGTGGTCTATCGGTTAAGGGCTTCGGCTCGAGACTGGTAGGTCCTGGGTTTGAATCTCGCTCGCGAGAGCAGGTTCGTGGATGCGCACTGCTGAGGAGTCCCATAATAGGACGAAACGGCCGTCTAATGCTTCCAGGTTTTCCATGGTGGTCTAGCTTCAATTGACTCACGCTTTCAACTATAATAAATACTAAATCTCCACAAAACCCCTTCTATTTTATTATTATTATTACAGAAGTTTATATCTTTGAAATAGCTTTACCGCGAAAAAAAACCATACTAATGATCACAGAGAGTAAATTTTATCGGTTAGTTACAACGGATTTAATCATGTTATAAAGATTATACATTGAAAGAATAGTATGTATTATGATTGAATGAGATTTTCATATTTAGTATTGACAATATTTTCAATTTCATTCCTACCATAGTATTTACCTCATCTTGGTCATAAGAAACGAATACATTTAATGAATCCAATGGTTCCAGGATTGACAGGGGGAAAGATGTCCTCTTCGGAAATCGATTCAAA